GCATGTGGTATGTGCATGTGTGTATATGTTTGCATGTCTGTGTGTGTAGTGTGTGCATGTGTATATATATTTGTGTGCATGTGGTGTGTGCATGTGGTATGTACATGTGTGTATATATTTGCATGTCTCTGTGTGTGGTATGTGCATGCATGTATATATTTGTGTTCATGTGGAATGTGTGTATGTGTGTGTATATGTTTGTGTTTGTGGTATGTGGCTTGTGTTTATACAAGTGTGTATGTAGTGTGTGTTGTGCACGCATTGGTATATGTATGTGTATGCGTATGTGGGGTGCCCATACATGTGGGTATGTGTCGTGTTGTGTGTGCACACGTGTGTATTGTTGGGTATGTATATGGTATGTGTACACATGTGTGGTGAGTGTGTGCATTGTTTGGTTTGTATTATGAGTGTGCCTGTGTGGGTGTGTATGTGCATGTGTATGTACACACATGTTCATGCCTCGGCGGCCTTCCCCACAGCCCCTGAGGCCGAGAAAGGAGCTCACGTGTTCCTTTGTTCCCTGTCAGGTTACGTCTTTGTGGATTTCAGCAGTGAAGGAGATGTGGAGAAAGCCCTGCGACACAACAGGGAATACATGGGTAAGGCGGGGTCTGCATCCCCTGCAGGGTCTGGGGCTCGATTCTGTAGGGATTCTGTCTGCTGTTGGCTGCTTGTGTGACCTTAGACCAATCTCTTCACCCTCCTGGACCTGGCTTTCTTCATCTGTGAATGGAGGGGGTTAAGATTAAGTGGTCTCCGTGACCCCGGCCACCTCCATGCCAGGGTTCTGGTGGCTCCCGAGGGGCTTGCTGGCCTCGTGCTCAGGCTCCTAGGACCTCTCCAGCAGAGCAGATATGTAGACAAATGAGTCATCTGAATAGAATGGCAGTTGAACCTGTGGGAGCTTATGACTTTGGAGAGTAGAGGGAAGAGGGCCCAGGGAGAAGCCTGGGGGTGTGCTTCTGGCTAAAATGCATGATGTGGATGAAGAATGAACAAAGGAAGCTGAGAAGTGGTCAGATAGGATGAGATGCAGGAGTCAGCAAAGTCAGAGTTGGAATGGACCCTAAAACAGGGAATGTCAGGGCTGGGAGGGGCCTTAGAACAGGGGATGTCAGGGCCGGGAGGGCCCTTAGAACAGGGAAAGTCAGGACTGGGAGAGGCCTTAGAACAGGGAAAGTCAGGACTGGGAGGGGCCTTAGAACAGGGAAAGTCAGGACTGGGAGGGGCCTTAGAACAGGAAAAGTCAGGACTGGGAGGGGCCTTAGAACAGGGGATGTCAGGGCCGGGAGGGCCCTTAGAACAGGGAATGTCAGGGCTGGGAAAGGGGGGGGCGGGGGCTTGGGCTGAGCACCATGTGGCCCTTCCTGGTCTCGCTGACGGTGCTCACTCACCTTGGCCGCATGCCCCTCCGGGAGGCAGGGAGTTGGGCCTCCACGTTATCTGTTTCCCCCAAAGGCGGCCGCTACATTGAGGTATTCAGGGAGCAGGGGAGCCGCGTGACCCCGAAGCGCCAGAAGGACAACAAGAAGGCCTGGCAGGGCCGACAGCTCAAGGAGGGCGAGGAGGAGGAGGAGCTGGCCGAGTCCGGGCGCCTTTTTGTGAGAAATCTGCCATACACCAGCACCGAGGAGGACCTCGAGGAGATGTTTGCCAGGTTCGGTAAGGGGCCAAGTTTGCCGCACACGCTGTTCGCGGTTTATCACGACGGACGCTTGGGGACTTCAGAAGGTCAGGTCAGGTGGTCTGTGTGTGCCTGGACTTGTCACCAGAGGCCCAGAGTTAGCTTCGGACTTGGTTACTTGTGAACTGTGTTACCTTGGGCAAGTCATTCGTCTTTTTGGCTCCTCGGTTTCCACATCTGCAAACTGAGGGAAAAGCATATTCTCAAGTGAAAAGTGTACTTCATAAAACTTGAAGCACCATATCATTGGGAGGGATCATCCTGTTCTTTTCAGGGCCTCAGTTTGTCCATCTGTAAGATGGAGTCATTTGCACAGCCTTCCTACCTCGAGATAGTTTGGAGAACAAGGCTTTTATAGTCCTTTGGGAATGAGAGCTCGTGCATTCTTCCGACTCCTGTGGAGTGGGAGGAAGGTTGGAATGCAGGTGAGGCGGGGGGCTTCCTTCTCACCCCTGGCAGCACCAGGGGGAGATCCAGGACCAGTGAGTTCACTCACCAGAGCCAGATGCATTAAGAGGTATCCTGACAGTATGGGAAGAAAGCCTCAGGGTGGGAGATCCGGAAGCCTGGGCTTCCCGGGCTTGCAGGATCCTCCTTCGAGGGCTGGAAAGGCCTTCAGAGCCAGGTGCTGCGTTTTCCAGATGAGGAAGCAGAGGCTGGTGACTGGGGGGTCAGTGGGGGGATCACCCGCCCACAGTCACCCAGGGTGCGAATGTCCGAGCTGAGATTAGAACCCAGGGAATCTCGAGACCGAACCTCTCCTGCTTCACTCTCTGTGGGCCTCGGGACAGGCCACCTTCCCTTTCCTGGTCTGATTTCTCTCATTTGTGAAATGGGGGCATTGGGCCAGCCCTCCACGGTGTGCAGTCTGGAATGCATTTCTGATATTTAAGGGTGTGAGGAGCCCAGTTGGATCAAGTGTGTTCAGCTGAGGGTCATTGTTTTTGAATTCCACATAGGAGTCCTAGCATGGAGTGTCTAAAGAAGCGAGTCCGTCAGTCAGCAGACATTTTGGGCTAAGGGCTGGGTTGTACAAAAAAGGCAGAGGAGCATCCCTGCCTTCAGAGATCCCACCGTCTAACTCTGCAAATAAGCTGTAGACAGGAGAAATTGGAAATAAGCAACAGAGATAAAGCATCAGCATTGAGAGGGGCGGGATTTTAGCTGGGACTCAAAAGAAGCCAGGGAAGCCAGGAGGCAGAGAGGATGAGGGAGGGCATTCTGGGCATGAGATATAGCCAGTGCAAATGCGTCCGGAGATGGAGGGTCTTGTGCAAGAAACAGCAGGAAGGTGAAGTCCTTGAGTTCATGCCGCAGGAGGAACAGTTGAAGAAGCTAGGGGTGTCGACTCTGAACACGAGAAGGTCTAGGTGCGGGGCATGCCCTGTCCTCAGATATTTGAAGGCTGTGAGGAAGGTTTTGATTTGACCTGCCTCGCCCTCCATGGGGTCAGGATGAGGAATGGTGGAGGGAGATTGTAGGGAAGCAAGTTTGGGATTTATAGAAGGGGACTCTTCCCACTGGTGATGACTGTGCCAGAGTGCAGCAGGGCTGCCCGGGGCAGAGGCGGCCTCCCCCTGGCTGGACGGGAGCCTGGGGAGGGGACTCCTGGTGAGACCCGGGGTGGACTCGCTCGTGCCAAGGTTGGAAGTGCCAACCCAGGACTGGTGAAAGGTCCTGCCGCCCCAGAGCTGGTGGAGGCTCCGTAACAGGCCGTTGAGATGAACTCGGATCAGACAGGAGGACCCACAATGCTTTCCAGCAGTCCTGTGTATTATGTGTGGCAAGTACTGTTACCCCCATTTTATAGATGAGGAAGCTGAGACTCAGATTATTGCGCAGGCACAGTGTTGGAGGCAGGATTCGTACTTGGGCCTCCAGACTCCCAAGTCTATCAGTCTTTTTACGGAGCTCTGCCAAAATTCATTAACCTTAGAAGTTAATGTTGTGGAAGGTGATAACTGTGTCCTCCCATGGCCTGCCCTTGGTTTGAAAGCCAGATGTGGTCAGACATTCTTTTGGGCTGGGTAAACTGAGGCAGAGCCTCGTATTCCCAATGTTCTTGTAAGTCAGCACACACCCTCGTTAGGGGCCGCGCCCTCAGCTGCCCCCTGTGAGCACAGATAGGGTGACTGCCCGCCAGGACCTTATGGTTTTTCTTTCCCAGGTCCCCTGTCTGAAGTCCATTATCCCATAGATGGTCTGACCAAGAAACCGAAGGGCTTTGCTTTCATCACGTACATGTTTCCCGAACACGCTGTGAAGGCCTACGCGGAAGTGGACGGACAGGTCTTCCAGGTGAACCTCTCTATCTGGGCAGTGACCTCTGTGGGCACCCGTTAGGTGGCCCTCGCTCCGTCCCCCAGGGAGCCGGGCCCAGGCCCCCAGGACCGTCTGCTTCCTCTCAACTCCCATGCTCAGTCAGGTGCCAAGTGTTGTCCCTTCGGCCTCAGCAGCCCCAGTCCTCCCCCTCAGCTCTTCTCCACTCTCAAAGCCTCTACCTTCATTCAGGCCCTGACCACCTCTTCCCTGCCTCCAGCCTCTCCCCTCCTCTAAAACACAGGCCTGACTGCCACCTCCCCAGCTTGGGAATCTTCCATGGCTCCCTGTTGCGTCTGGGATAGAATACAGAGTCCTTGCCTTGCCATGGAAAGCCCTCCACAATCGACTTCCTGCTTTTCCAGCCTTATTTCCTGCCGCTGCCCTCCACTCTTCTCCGCTGCTGTCATACTGGGCAAGCTGTTCTCCTTACATGACATCCCATCTCCTTCCTCCATGCACATGCCCTCCCATGTCTGAACTTCATGCCTTGCAATTCCCTAGCTTCCCTCAAAGCATAGCTCAGGCGCCTGCCCCCTCCCCCACTAGGCCTTTTCCTGATTACCGTCCTCCTCAGGTGAACACTGACCCTCCCTCCCCACCCCTCCCGAGAGGCCTCTCTACCTGACTTTGCATCTACCCATTTTATAAGGGGTTCTCCAAGTATAGTCTCAGGGTCAAAACTACTTTGATAATAATACCTTAGACGTTTTCATTTCTAATATGGTAAATACCAATAGCTATAATCCACATAAATAAAAGCTTTCAGGGGTCTTTAGTCCTTTTCAAGAGAGTGAAGGGATCCAGAGCCCCCACAGTTAGAGAACTGCTGCCCTAGTAGAAGGCAGGTAGCCCAGAGGGCAGCAGCATGGCCCATTTGGGTCCTGCTATCACACTTAGCTCAGTACCCTGTCAGAGTAGTCTTTTAAAAAAAAATGTGCGTGCTTGCTTAGATTAAATTGAATTGAAGCTAGTGTCAAGCTCTTGAAATTAATCTAGCGATCTCCATGTAGAGGCAGCTTGGGGTGACGGAGGGAGGGGTGGACTGCATTCGAACCCTTCCCCCACTGAGTGTGGTCAGTGGCAGGGTCAGATCACTAGTAAGATCAGAAGCAGGATTAGAACCAAAACTTTTGTGACTCCAAATCTGTCCTACTCCAGTCCCCTACTCCACATTGCTTCTATCAAAATGATTTGTAGCTGGTTGGGGAGGATGGGTCCATGACTATTTGTTGAATTGAATTGAAGAATGTGTGATCATAAAATCCTGTGACCCTATTTAAGATCCTTAGAAATCTCATATAACCCCATCATCTTACACATGAATATATGGAGACACAGAGAAATTGAACAGCTTGCCCAAAATTAGGCAAGTAGTAGAAACGAGACATGGACCTGTGGGAAAGGCATTGTCCTTCCTGGAGCCTGCTCCCTCGTCCGTGAGATGGGGGTGTGGAGATGCTGCCTGTGAATGGGCCTACTCACCTCTCCTGGTTACTGCGAAGCTTGACAGAGGTCATTTCTCAAGGGCTTTGCAAATGGGGAAGGGCCATGTAAATGTCAGTGGCCTCTATCAGGATGATGGGACGGTCAGCCCGTGAAGTAAGGCAGCGCCCTGGAAAGGCTCCTGGCATCCGCCGGGGTAAGAGGTTAAGGTGCTGGGAGCTCAGGGCTCTTGTTAAGAGGTTTCTCTTCCCCCGTCAGGGCCGGATGCTCCACGTGTTACCCTCCACCATTAAGAAGGAGACCAGCGAAGGCGCAGATGCAACATCATCTTCCTACAAGAAGAAGAAGGCATTGAAGGACAAAGCCAGCAGTTCCAGGTCCTTGTCTTTACTCTCTGGGTGCCTTCCGAGGGCATGGCAGCGAGGCCTCGTGGTGCAGAGTGCTAGGATTAGAGCCTGGCAGACCTGAGTTCAACTCCTGCCCCGGCATGTATGCGCTCCTCTACCGTGAACAAACTGGTGACTTCTCTGAGCCTCCCTCTCATTGGTTGCATGGGGACCAGGGTTGTTGTGAGGCTCAGATAAGAGTATGCATGTGGAGCGCTTTGCCCACCTTAAAGGATGTCAACCATGAGTGAGAGAGTGTATGTGGGCATGTGGGTGTGCACCCATGGCCCCAAATGAAGTATCGCAGAGAGAGGGGTTCAGGAATTGTGGTCACCTTGACATGCGTGATAGGATGTGGAGGCTAGAGAGCTGGTCTTGAGTTCAAATCCACCCTCAGAAACTTTCTAGCTGCATGACTCCCCATCCCACCCCCAGCCTCAGTTTCCTGTCTGTCATTTAGGACCGGTTGTGAGGAGAAAATGAGGTAATATACGTAAAAGCCCTTTGTAGGCCTTCAAGCACTGTCTACATGTTTGCAGTTATGATTGTCATTATTATTTTCTGCAGTTGGATTACCCAGATTTGAATTCCAGCTGTTCCTTAGTATCTGTGTGACTTTAGGCAAGTGCCCACCTCTCTGGGCCTTGGTTTCTTCATTTGGAACACGAGGACATTGGACCAGCTGAACTCTGAGGTTCCTTTTAGCTGTAAATCTGTGAACCTATGATCCATACAGGCAGGGAGGAAAAAGTTAGACATGGGGTGTAAGAGACGTCTTCAAGCTGAACACTAAGAGGTCCCTGTTCTCCAGCTGTTGGGCTAAAGAATTTAGAAAAAGGAGGTCAGGCAAAGGTATATTGCACTCCGGGCAGGATGAGAAAGCGTTAGGACCCTGAAGTGCTGGCCACACTGAACGTTCTAGCCCCTTCCTGGACCAGGCCTAAATTCACCCCATCTGTCTAGTGTCCCAGGGAAGTGCAATGTCGGACGTTTACGCCGTCCCTGAGCAAGCTCACATAGCTCCCTGAGCCTCAAGTCCCTCTTCTGTAAAATGAGGGCCTCGAGGGTCCCTTCCATCTCCAGAAATGTGATATTAATACCTGTGTGACTCTGTCCTTTAACAGTGAATTATACGTCTCCATCCGGACCCCTCCCCAAACTTCCCATTGCAGAATTGAGACTATGGAGTGAGCCCTCTGTTATGCTTGGTGAAGGGTCAAAACACAGCTTTGGTGGATAGAGCACCAGCCCTGAAGTCAGGTGGACCTGAGTTCAAATCCAGCCTCAGACCAAACACTTGACATTTACTAGCTGTGTGACCCTGGGCAAGTCACTTAACCCCAATTGCCTTAAAAAAAAAAAAAAAACACAAAACCCAGCTTTGGACAATGCCACGCAGCCTGCATTCTCATCTGGGCTGGATGTTGCCATGTGTTATAATATGGTTGATCTTTGTGATATTGTCTGGCGCCGGGTGATGATGCTGACAGTAGATGGCAGTGGGAGGGCCCAGGAGGGCACTGAGTGGTGGAGGAAAGCCAGCCTGGTGTATTGAAACCATGCCAGAGAAAATCTACCAAGTGAACAAACCGCTGAGAGGGGAGATTTAGCTAAATGTGATGGGAAATACCCAAAGCATCTGGCTCATTGGCAGTTCTGATCAAAGACCTTAAAATCTGAGCACGGATAGGGTTTAAAACAAGATTTGCAGGTCGTCCCTTCGCTGCCCCCCTCCCCGGCCCTCTGTTCTCTGTGTCTTTATCGCCTCTTCAGCCTGTAGCTGTGGCCATGGTCTTCCTTTGCAGACTGTTGTGTTTACATCCTAGGATCATAAATCCAGAGGCATACGGGAACCTCAAAGGTCATCTGGTGCAACCGCATCATTTTGTTGATAAAGAAATTTGTCACGTGGGTAATGAGTGGCAGAGCCAGGATGCAAATGTTGGTCCTGGGATGCCCATGTTCAACCCTTTTTCCTCGGTATCACATGGCATCCCTGGGTTTCAGTCCTCTCATCTATAAAATGAAAAGTTTCAGATAGATGGCATCTGAGATCCTTGCCCTCGGATTCTGTGGCTTCTGCCAGGAGTGGAGGGTGTGGAGCTGAGTGGATCCGGCCTGTGCTTTCATAAAGAGGAACTCCCAGTGTGGAAACTCCCTGTGAAGATTAGCGACTCTCCTCTAATTTTCAGTCTTAGAGAGTAGCTTGGAGGTACTGAAAGGATCATAAGATCACAGATCCAGGGCAGATACTCAAATCACTTTATGGTTGAGGAAGCTGAGCTGCCAGGAACCTTAGGTGATGTAGGATCATATATTTAGAACTGAAAGGGACATTCAAGGTTTCTTGAGTCCAACATCCTTGTTTTATATGTGAGGAAACTGAGGCTGAGAGGGTTAAAGAACTTTCCTAGGGTGACATAGCTAGTAATTATCTGAGGTAGGTTTTGAACTCTCACTCTCTTGACTCTTAAGTCCAGAGTTCTATCTGCTGTGCTGCCCTCACATAGGTAGAAAGCAAGAGACGTGGGATTTAAACCCAGGTCTTGTGGTTCTAGAGTTAGTGCTCTTTATATTGTCCTAGGGACTGGGAAGTTAAGTGACTTTACCATGGTTAATCAATTTGTTTTTTCAAAGGTAGACCTTGAACTCAAGTCTTCCTGACTCTAAACTCAGCCACCTATCCATTATTCCACATTCCCTGTTCTCTTGACTCTGAGTTAATTCAGATAAACATCAGCTATAGACATGGGCTTCACCTGGACTCTAGGCCGACTAAGCAGAATCTAGATTGTGTCTATGAGTCACAGATTTTAAAGAAAAATCATAATTCTTGAAACGAACTGAAATGCTGCTCAGAGCATGCTGGAGAAAGTATTGTTAGTGTTCCTGGTGGGTGGTCTGCCCCTCATTTGGTCCTCACAGTTTCCTTACCTAAAAAGGAGATTTCTTGGTGTGGAAAGCAGTGCTTGTATTCCTCTGGTAGTTTTGTGATCTTAAATACAATCCAGATAACGCAGGATTTCCTTCTCACCTTTATCTCCTCAGCTCTCACAATTGGAATACACTGTTTATGGGGACGAATGCCGTGGCTGAAGCTGTTGCACAGAAGTACAACGCCACAAAAAGTCAAGTGTTCGACCATGTGAGTGAGAATCCTACTAGAGGAGCACCAACCCTGTAGGCCAGAGCCCCGGGGCCCTGAGCAAATTCTGGGGAAAGGAATTAGCCTAAGGCCATCCTGGAGTGTGGATACCAGTTGAGGTCACGAGTGGTACCATTGAAACAAAGAGTTCTGCAGTGGTCCTTTGAACAGATGCCCAGACTTAGTCTGTTTGTTTGTTAAGCCCATAAACCACACACTCCAGGAGCCTGGGATCCTCTGAAAAGGACTATTGCCATCATCATTTGCTATCCTTGATAAGCTGAAGGCCCTGCTTGGCTTATGAAAATGGAAAAAAGACTGAAATTTATTTCTTTTGGCCAAGTTCTGGCCAATCAACCAAGAAGCACTTATTAATCACCTTCTGTCTGCCAGTTACCATTTAGAAGGTAGAAGAGGGCTCAGTTAAAGGGTGCTGCCTGTTTTTCGGTGGCAGAAATAATAACCAGCCCCATTTTTCTAGTGCTTTAAGGTTTCCTCATGAGAGCCCTGGGCAAGTATTACCATCTCCACTTTATAGAGGAGAAAATGGTAAGTCCCTCGAGGGCAGGAACTGTTTCTTTATTGCCTTTGTATCCCCAGCATGCCTTGCACGCATTAGGCCCTTGAGAGATGCTCTTTGAATTGAGCTGAAGCTCAGAGAGGTGAGTGACCTGCCCCTAGTCATGTAGCTAGTGAGGGCCAAGAGGAGAGATTCAGATCCAGGACTTACTGATCTCATATCCAGCATTCTCTCTACTACATCAATCAAGCAGTTAACATTAATTGAGCTCCTACTATGTGCCAGACTCTGTGCTAAGTGCCGGGGATACAAAAAGAGGCAAGCCCTCAAGGGGCTTACAATCTAATGGAGGGATTGTACTAACTCATCGTGGGCATGGAGGCTGTGCCCAGGATTTGGGGCAGAGGGAATCACCTCCCATCAACTAGGGTTTTCCTAGCATTCAGAATTCTATCCTAGCTCTCTGGTGGTCATTCAGCTATGTTCTCTGCTGCCCTCAGGGTGTTATGGGACCAGAGACTTGGACAGTCAGGGCTGGAAGAAAACTTTGGGGTCATGGTGTTCATTTTAAATACACTTTAATATTTTTAAAAAATAGCTTTTTGTGTACCTCACATTTACATCCCTCCTTATCCACTGAGCCATCTCTTATAACAAGGACTTAGAGAGAGAGAGAGGAGAGAGAGAGAAACAGAGAGACAAAGAGAGGGAGGGAAGGAGGAGAGAGAGAGTAGAGAGAGATAGAGACAGAGAGAGAGAGGACAGGGAGGAAGGAGAGAGACAAGAGAGAGAAAAAGAGAGAGAGAGGGGAAGGGAGGGAGGAGAGGGAGAAAGAGAGAGACAGAGAGAAGGAAAAGCAGTTCAGCTGTTGAGCATGTCTGACAGTAGAGGCAATATTCCACATCTGTAGTCCCCCACCTCTGCATTGAGATGAGGTAGTTCTTCTCTGGG